AGTAACTTCCAAAGTTATGTTTCATGTAGAAAACATGTTTTCCAATGGTAAACAGTGCACACAGACCCTTCTTTGTCATTTTTTAGTCCCCAACATGCTGGTAGCACTGGAAGTTGGCGGAATAACATGGGCAGATGCAGGAGCCATGGGGTGATACTGTACTGGACTGCAAAGTCGGGCTGAATGGCAAAGTCAGCTGTTCAAAAGCACCAGCTGCTCCTCAGAAATCCTATACAGGGTTGCTATGATTTGAAACTGTGGCACTTAACAACAACAACAACATGCACAGAAGAATAGTTTCTCATTTAAAGAATGACTATTTTACAGCATGATTTAATAAGACTTTTGTTACAGAAAACAAGTAACCCTATAGAAATAGGACTGGAAAGTACAGTTAATTACAGAATTGGGCTTTTGGTCCAGAAAAAGACTCTGAGGAAGGGCTGAAAATATAAATTTATGTCCTTACTATTAGACAATTTCAGTAAGCAAATGCTCTAGTTAAGCTCTTGAAGCCAAACTGTTTGAAAAGTTTTATTTGGTAGCAGAAAACATCTTCAAGTGGATCTTTACAAAATAATTTGTGTAAGAGAGAAGAAATAAATTTATACATAAGATTTTGTTGCTGAAATTTGGGATAATAACAATCAATTTAGCTTACAAGAATTCACACAAAATCATGTATCTTATTTAATAAAGCAAGCAGAAGCTAGTTATTCCATGAGTAATCAGTTTGTTACAACCCATGTTAGAGACTACACTGAGTTTAAGGAGAAAGACAACTCTAAGGACTATAAGACAGACGAAGTGATTTCAAAGTGTAATAATATATAAACACATTTAGACTAAAAACAGTGATATCAACAAACAAGACTAATGATTTCGCATCATTTCACGTCCATGATGTGTACATATATACTTACATCATGGGTTTTCATCTCATAGTTGCCCATTATCAAAATTATACACAAATTTACATTTACATTATTGACAACAATTGTTACTATTGGACATATGAGGGGGCTTCAAAAAAACTGGAATTAAAAGATACTAGAATTTTTCCATTAAATTTCTGAATACCTCTCATATGTCTCTGTGTATCCATTTGATTTGGTCTCGTGTGCAGTCCCTATGACTGACCTGATTGTGTATCTGACAATGGAGGATAGTCTACTAGAATGAATCAAGTTAGGATAAGAAGGATCAGTCTTCTTTGTTTCTGAAAGTCTAAGACTGTATTCCTTTGAAATATGAATAACAATACTTTCAACAGGCCAAACTGAACAGGCACCAAATGGGTTTGGGAACATCCAGGAGTTATGACCAATGTCTGGTATAGTGTACAGGTATAAAGTGATTAGCATTTTAACAAAATATAAAAAACACTGTTTTCACTAACGGGAAAAAGCAGACATTGTCTCCCTAGTTAAAAAAAACAAACGCTGATTTTCAGTTTCTTGTTTAAACACATGAAGATTGTGATCCCCTAACTTCACTAATTAAGTAAGAATCCAGAAGAAATTGACTTATGACTTAAATATAACAAGTATAACAGTGTTTTTATATGAAATTTAGTCTATTAAATACAATGTTATATATGTACACACATATATATCCACATAGATATATATTCATAGTACCTTTATGGGATTCTTTAAAATGCTCATAGTAGCTTATATGATATTGATAAAAATAAAGATACAAGCTTATAGAGTGTAGAAAACAACACATCATTTACAGCTTACTTCTCTGATACCTTCTGTGAGTTAAAATAGCTTAAATTCTTCAAGTTTGAGTTTTGATTTCTGAAAGCAGAACTGTGCTTTGGTATTCAAATCTTGTAAAAGTTTATAGTTTTTTCTCAATGTAAGGTATAAAAGGCAGAGGATAAACATGTAGGTAAGGGAGAGGCAAAAAGAAATTTTTAATCTAAAGTTTTGTAACTATCATTTGATCAACTAGTGGTTTTCAACAGATGCCCTGCTGAATGAACCTAGCTTCTTGGAGGTTATTAGGTATGGTATTAAAAGGGTTTAATTCAAATTTTGCTTCTATAAGTGCTTCTTAAAAAAAACTTAAATACAATGTATATTTTAAATGCTTCACATATCCTCATTTTACCATACTGGAGAGACTACTATGTTTACAGTTCACGTCCAGGATGACTCGTTTTAATACAGACCCCGTATACAATTGCAGTAATCTTTCTGTAAAGAATCTCCCGAGATGTGTGCTTAAACCTGCTATGATTTGCACTAAGGCTTATATGTGCTAATCAGACTTTCCTTGATACTATGGAACCCAAACCAGGGACACAAGTAAATGGCTGGCCAGTTTCATGAACTATAACTCCAATGTCACATTTGTGTTATTCAGAAATCTTAATATTCTTAAGTAATGAATTAAGAGAAGTAAACATTATAAAAGTGTAACTCAAATGAATATATACTGATAAAATGGAGTTTTCAGGTTTTATGTGTCAGAGCTACACAGAAAATTTTATTTAAAGATTTTACTGCTAGAAGGAGTTTAGAAAATAATGCTGTATAAGAATTTGTCCTTTTTTCTTGGAAACAAGCTGCCTTTCTAAGATTAGCTTTTCAATTCCTGAATTATGTTCCATAAAGAGACCACTTCTACAAACTGGAGTGCTGCAGCTATTCATAAAAAAGTAACTTAAAAAAAAATTGAGGATTGCACTAAATATATTAGCAAGTGCTTTGGTCTCTCCCAATGTACAGCTTTAAACCATGATTTTTACTTTTGACTTACTCAGGTATTTATTATTGTTATTTTAAATTTCAAAATGCGTTCACACTCCAGATAACACAATTTAGTGTCCTCATACATCAAATACATTGCATTTTGATAAGTTAGGCACATTTGAATGACTTTAGATTTTGTGGTTTTATTATAAAACAGCTTACACACCAAACTCAAACAATCTTTTTTATTTAAAAGTCCATCTCAAAATTCACTTCTGAGTTTTAGTTTAAAAATAAGTGAGACATTTAAAAGCATCAAATGTTACTAGTCTACAATTCATTTTGTTATGAACATTTCTAGTGTGTAGAAAGGGGAAACACACCCATTACATTGATTAGGCACAGTACTATGGCCAATAGGCCAAGAAATCGGGGCACATTTGTGTACTCAGGCAACAGTTGGAGGTCAGAACGGAGGGAATCACGCTTCAGCTGTGTGTACTCTTATCTCTGCGTCCCCTCCAAAAACTTTTAGTAAGTCTTAAGTCAACATGTAAGAGATTGTATGCAACTTATTTTAAAAAACAAACGACTCTACCTGCTTTCTACATTACATTGCAAAGGTGAGACAGATGATATAAATTGTAGCCTCACTATGCATTATGGTCTTGATATCCATGCCACAGGACCATGCTATAGGTGAGACATGATGACAAGATTCGTCTGGTGATTTCACAAATCTGGTTGGAAAGGGTACATGACTATAAGAATTCACATTATTACAAAGCTCCAACAGTTTTTGAATTGGGGCAGTGAAAAGGAATCACAGTACAAAATCTTGAACTCTTACTGGAAAAGCAACAGGTGCTACACATGAAAATTACTTATATAAACATTTTTTTTAAATGCAGATATAAAATTTTAATTGCATAGGGATTTAAACATAAGGCCAAGAAGGATATCAAGCAAAGTTAAAAAAAAAAAAAAAATTCATCCAAAGGGCACTAAAGGTGTCAAAAGATAGAATTTTCATTCTTAGAGTAGTTAAGTCTGAATTACTGTCTAAATGAAAAATCACAGTATGTTGCTAGAACTAACAGTGAATGTCAACTGTTCCATTAATTCCAACTTGGAAACCAGTATTATTGCTGTTGCTGTCGCTGAATCAAGTCTGACTCACGGCAACCCTACAGTACAGAGTAGAACTGCCCCATAGGGTTTCCTAGGCTGTACTCTTTACAGAGGCAGACTGCCACATTTGTCTCCCACGGAGCGGGTTGGTGGGTTAGAACCACTGACCTTTCGGTTAGCAGCTGAGTGCTTACTTAACCTTTGCACCATCAGGGCTCCTCAAACTAATATTCCAAAAACACAACTAAAGTTCATTGCCTATACCTGATCAGTGTGTTAGCGCATCACCGCCTGGTACGTACCTGATTAGTTATATAATCTACCTTTTGTAAATAATGTAAAGTTTAACACATGTTCACAAGTATGAAAGTGCCTCGCCACTCGTTGTCAGTGATCTGCAGGCTTACTCAAGAATTTCGTTATTGAGTCTTCAAAGAGTACAAGATCCTACCCGGCAGAATCTTCACTCAATAAACCCCAAACACTGTAATTAACAAAACATAATACAATTCCACCATTAACTAAATGTACACAAACTAGAGATAGGTCCTGGCATTAGTATGCACATCATCCTCAGCATTTTGGAAGGCAATGAATGAGGAAACCAACTATATTCTCTGTCTTTTCAGCTAATGGTTACTACCTAAAGTTTCAGGCAGAACGGTAAATTGTGATCTACTTTTCGTTTTAACATTGTTAAAATGTAGTTTAAACAGCAACTTCCGTATCTAAAAGTAGCTTAATTAACTTAGTATTGTTATATAGAGTATTGTGAGGAAAAACAAGAACTCCCAAAGGAATTACATTAAGGTACATTTGGGAATACCCAAACCAATGTTTTAAATGAAAAAGTGCATAAATACAGTAAATACTACATGTGTGTTAACTGTGGAACAAGTGTTCGTCTGGGAACTACACAATACTATTTCGCACATTATTTACATGTGTTGAATTTCTCAGATACCACAAAGCACCATTTAGCGTCTAAATTACTTGATTATGTCTGAAAGGACCTTTGCCTTTATCTCGACTCATTTGAGGATCTCCTAGAGTAGAAGAGTCAAGTGATCTTCAGTTCAAATACTACTGTGACCATGGTTCTGCTCTCAAGACTTATGTTTACAATTCAGTACTCATTTGTTCAAAAATAGCATCGCGGCGTTTTCACTTCACACTCTTGGTGGGTGTTTCAGATTCTGTGGACTGTCTCCCATCAGTCCAGGCTTCTCGGGTGCTCTTTAGCGCCAGGGTCTTCTGTTGGTCAACCACAACATAATCCACCCTCTCATCTGCTACACTGCTGCCTGAGCCACTGCTCTTTTGCTAAAAAGGAAAGAAAAAAACAACAACATCCCACATATTAAAAGGAGTACTTTGAGGGAACTTCAGTCTTAAAACTCATTTATACATATACATTACAAACACTCTTTTGAAATTCCATTACCTCAAATTTAACAATATTGTCTATTTCTCTGAACTCTACATTATTTTTTCTCTATGAATTTACTATTATTTGCATATTAGAATTCAAACTAAGGCCCACTCCCCCATCTCAGATGAAATTCAGGCAAAATAGGGACAAATACAACGAGTCCATCCTAAGGTACACAGCTTGCTTCTCCTTCTAGCCTTTAGCGTAAAGTTTGACTTTTTTAAAGTTCTGAGAATATGTACTTATGTTCAGAGCTTAAAAATGTTTTTGAAACTAGACAGATGGGTCCTCTTCCTCCTAAAATACAACTAGATTCTAACTAACAAATATAAGAGGGGGCTTCAAAAAGTATGCAAATTGAAGCAAAATAAAATGGGATTCTCCAGCAACTTTCTGAAGCAGCCTTGTATTTATTACAGCATTGGTGGACTTACACTATAAGGAGCCATAGTGATTCACTGGTTAAAATGCTCAGCTAATAAGCAGAAGGTCAGCAGTTTGAATTCACCATTCATTCTCCTCAGAAGAAAGATGAGGCAGTTTGCTTCTGTAAAGATTCTGCCCTTGGAAACTACGGGGCAGTCCTACTCTGTTCTATGGGGCCACCAAGAGTTGGAATGGACTTGATGACGGTGAGCTTGGTTTTCTGGTTTGGATTCTGGTTAGGAAGTACGGGGACCAGGGAGAGCAATATGTTTCTAATTGGTAAAAGCCGAGTTGTCTTTCGGATAAATGTCCATCTCAGCAATGCAAATCAGGAGACTCCATCTAAGAACCCTGGATAGAAAGGTATGCTGAATCTGGGGCTATCCTGATAAGTGAAGGATGATTAAAGGGGACTGAGTACGTCCTAGGGTAGTAGTGCCTGCTGGTTCCTAAAGAAGCAAATGCAAATCATTTCTGGAGAAAACTGAAGCCACAGAAATTTCCATAGTTACACTCAGCAAAACAAATACATAGCAAAAGTTGATAAAACACATACAAGGAAAAAAGCCACTGAGCATGGGCATTAGTAGAAAGAAATTCAGAGCCCCCAAATTCAGATATTGAAATAATTGCTTGTTGTTAAGTGCTGTTGAATGGGTTCTAACTTATAGTGATCTGTATAGGGTTTCCAGGGAGCAGCTGGTAGGTTTGAACCATCAACCTCGTGGTTAGCAGTCCAGTGTTTAACCTACAGGACCACACCAGGACTCAACATCACACACACACACACACACACACACACACACACACACACACACACACACAGAGTTTGGAATTTGTTGAGACAGCATTTCAATGTTATTCACTAAAAAAAGTAGAACGCATATAACTATACTGTTGTTGTTAAGTACCGTGGAGTTGGTTCCAACTCACAGTGACCCTGCATAGGGTTGTAAATCTTTACAGGAGCAGAAAACCACATCTTTCTCCCGCAGAACCGCTGGTAGTTTCAAACTGCTGACCTTGGGGTTGGCAGCCCAACTCATAACCACTGTGCTACCAGTGCTCCTTAACTATACTATTGTTGTTGTTGAGTGCCAGTGAGTTGGTTCTGACCCATATCGACCTGGTACAGGGTTTCCGAGGCTGTAAATCTTTACGGGAGCAGAAAGCCCCATCTATACTATTAGGTTAGAAAAAATAAATTGATCAGTCTTTGATACTTGTGATCTATCAATAGCCTTAGTAGACTGTGAAATGTCAACTAAACACAACTAAGCTATGATATTTCAGATTTAAACTGTGAGTTTACTGTCTATAAAGAACAAGCTTTTACTTACCTTTCGTGGCGGTGTAGATTTCCCAGAATCTAAATCTAAATCTAGGTATTCCACTTGTTTGTCCCCTTTGGGTTTTATCATAGGACTGCTTCCTCCATCAAGGCTATTACTGCCAAAAAGATTCTAAAGTGCAATACAAAAAAAAAGAATCAAGTGTCAAACACTGAGATATTTGTCTGCTCAGAAAATTAAATAACCTTTTAGGACTTGGTGGGGGAGGAAATAAATAGATTTTTTTAAAAAAAACGGATAAAACTTTATTTAGAGCAAGCTACTAGTTTTAAATAGTCAAACGTGGCTCAAACTAAGGCTGGGATACTAAGCTACAGCTAGTTCTAATAGCACAAACCTGAACATTACTACTACTACATCTATACAAAATTACATTTTTCACTACAAGATTCAAACCTTAGGTTCCTTGTTAGACTTAAATAAAATCCTCTTATAGGTCATATAAAGGATTTCACACTAAAAGCACCTTATAGTCTGTAAAAGTTATGAACAATGTGTCTATTAGCAAAGCTTATTTTGTTTCAACCATCTAGAATTTTTACCAATTCATTTCCAGTTTTTTCTTACCCTGACCCTGTCTCTCTCCTAATAACCAAAAACCAAAGCCAAATCCCATTAACATCAAGTCATTTCTGACTCCTAACAGCCCTATTTCAGAGGTTGCAAATCTTTACAGGAGCAGACAACTCCATGTTTTTCCTGAGGAGTAACTGGTGGGTTTGAACTGCCAACCCTGCAATTAGCAGTCCAGTGCCACTCCCACAGAGTCACCAAGGCTCCAAGCAGAAAATGTATAATAGAGGGACTCTTCATATAAAAAAAGGAAGGAAGAAAGAGTATAGTAACAAACAAGTACAAACATGCTTGAGGTAGAAACTTAACAAATAAATAGGCTAATGGGAGCTTGAAGACCAATGCTAAATAAAAATGAAAGGGTGACATGAACTTAAGAACCTATACCTTCTACTTCAGTTGTAAGACAGCCTTCTAAATGTGCTCTGACCACTGACTCATTTCCATGCCTTACTCCTCCTTTTAGCTTCATCTAGAAATGTTCCAGATCTCTTATAGGTTTGTTGTTAAGTGATGTCGAGTTGGTTCCATCCCATAACAACCCTGTATAGGGTTTCCAAGGAGTGGCTGGTGAGCTTGAACCATTGACCTTGCAGTTCAAACTAACTTTGCAGCCCAGCACATTAACCCACAGCACCACACCAGGACTCCCCAATATTCTTAGGGATTCTCATCCTTGTTCCCCAGATCATGTGAATATCACTGTCCACAGATGACCTCAGAAACTTTCAAAAGAAAACCAGGACGAGATAATACAGTTGACAAATCAATTAAAAAATGCTGTAAATCTGGTTCTGTTGGTTCTTTTATCTATAACTCCGTTTCTTTTTTAAACAAGGTAAGCTGTGATTTAGGAAAAGGCATTGGCTAGAAAAAAATGTGAGTCCAGTCCCTTATTTTATATCAGGGTTGCTGACACTCGACATGAAACCCTTGATGAATTAGAAAAAGATGTTCCTTCTACTAGACCGACATAGCTCTGGAAGCATGATATGGCCTGGGCTTCATGGACTCACATTCTCTTAGGCAGCAAACCACCTATCAACTGCATGGTACAGCCCTATTTTGAGGAAGAGATTTAAAAAACCAAATTCATCAAGTGTTGCTATTAAAATATTTAAAAATACAATGAGAATATGCAGGACACACACACAAAAGTAAGCAGATAGATTGCTCAACCAGTTACAACGCCATCCAGCTCTATCTTTGATTTAATTTAAACTACATGAAAAAATTGCAATTGTCAAGAAAGTTTTTCTCTGAATGATTCTGTGTTTTTCTCTCACATAAAAAAAACAAAACAAAACAAAAAAACAGGCAGCAATGAGTGCATGTGTCGTTAATTAAAATTCTATATTTAAACGTGCCAGTGAAAGAACCCACCACCTGTAGTCCCCTGACAGGGGATGTTTAGAAGCATTCACAGTATTACCCGTGTAAAAAAAAGGAAGTCATGAGTTCACATGACCAACATGTTTAATTGTTTAATATTTTAAGTATTGTTAAGTTTGGTGTGTCTACAATGAAGTCTATTTGCTCTCGATTTAATCTCAATTGGGAACAGCTTGCCTGTGTTCTAGCCTTTAGCCCAGAGATTAAAGAAACCCTAGGATTCTAGGAATTATTGTAAGTGTTCTGTGAATTAAAACAAACAAACAAACAAGTATAAAAAAAACCTCACCAGTGCTATGCTTTTTAAAGATTTTTTTTCCCCTAAAATAAAATTAATGAACATGTTTTTGTTATTATTATGCAACACTTATTTAGGTCTTTGGCAGAGGTGCATCATCACTCAGATTTCTGGAGTCCCATTAAAGGTTCACCTGATGAATGCATGATTTCTGATCATTGTAGAAATGAACAGGCAGCACTGCCAATTTGTCGTTTCACTATATAGTGCCTACTCCATGATCACTGGTCTAGGAAATGTATCATGCTGCAAAATTTCAACTTGTAGAGTTTAATAATATTCACTGCATGCATAAATCAGACTTGATCTGATCCTGTCTCTACTTCTCTCAGACTTTTTTAAAAACACAAAAACTGACCTATCAATCCAACCACACTGTGGGTCATGTTAATGTCTGTGGTATTCTATCAATACGCTGTTGTCGTTATTGTTAAATGCTGTTGAGTTGGTTTTGACTCATAGTAATCTTGTAGAGGGTTTCTGAGGAGCAGCTGGTGGGTTTGAACCACCAGACCTTGAAATTAGTCCTACAGCACCATATCAAGGATTCCACCAATATATTAATACATTATTGTGTTGTTGTTAAGTGTCGTCGAGTCAGTTCCGACTCATAACGACCCTATATGGGGTTTTCAAGGAGTGGATGTTGAACTGCAGACCTTGTGGTTCAAACCAACCTTGCAGTCCAGCGCATTAACCCACAATGCCACACCATTAAGTCCCCCAAATAAAGAGATTTAGGACATATTGCTTTAACAATCACATCCTTTTCTAAGGAAGAGTTGTATCGGCTGAGTTTCTGCAGTTGGCAGCATGTGAAATTTTTAGTATAAAGGTAAATGCATGTTTTTACCTCATCATTTTTGCTTAATTCTAACATCCAGTACCTTAGAAATCCATCAAACTCCCTTGGAAACCCTGTACAGGGTCGCTATGGGTCGGAACCGACTCGACGGCACTTAACAACAACAACAACTAGGCAGTAGAATCCTGGTGTGGTGTGGTGCTGTGGGTTAATGCGCTGGACTGCAAAGTAGGTGAGCGGTTCAGGCTCAACAGCCACTCCTCGGAAACCCTATACAGGAGTCGAAACTGACTCCACATCACATAATCACCACCGCCACCACCACGGCAGTGAGGAACTCTGGTGGTGCAATAGTTAAAAGCTCGGCTACTAAACCCAAGTTGGGGGTTCAAATCCACCATTGGCTTCAGGGGAGAAAACATCTGTTAATCTGCTCCTGTAACGATTAATATCTAGGAAATTCTATGGGGCAGTTCTACTCTGTTGTCTAGGGTTACTATATACTATGAGTAACAGACAACAACAGCAAATGAGTATCTTTTTTGTAAAAAATTTATTTTTATTTTCTCTTTCTAGTTGCAATGTTCTGCCTTTTAGTCTTTTCCCTTTACCATACGCTTACCTATGAGAAATCTTTCCTCTTACATGTTTTTCCCCAAGATTTCATGCTATTTACTATATTTGACAAAAAGATACTCTTTAGTATCTCAAAAAATACTCTGATAACTTTTGTACTAAGAAAAAAGTTCGTTAGACTACCTAAAGATACAAACTGGTGACAAGATCTACTCTTGTATTCCATTTAATATAATCAAGAAGGAAATTAGTTAATAAAAATAATGAAGCACAAAAAGAAAAAAATCTGCTACAAAAATTGCACTACCTTGAAAAATCAGCTGGTTGTATTCTAATTCAATAGTGATATATTTCAAATTACATTATGCAAACTCTTCATACCACTTAATTATGTTCCCTGATAACATATGGTGGAAGCTTCAAAATATTTGTGGAAAAATTTCATTATCTGTCTACTTCATTTTTTCCACAAACTTTTTGAAGCCCATTTGTATTATTGTGGGTAATGTGTGTCTGCCTTGAGTTTATGAGAGACAATAAACATAATAATAGAATTGAGCTTTATCTTTTGAATCTTGAAATGGAATTTTTAAAGAAGAGAAAGCTACTAAAATGCTACTTTCTGGAAATTTTAACATTAGATATTTGTTTATCCTGGCACATACTGCCTGATTGTCCCTTACTACCTGCTCTTCCATTTGAATGGGGTTTTTAGATGGGTCCACTGCCCTTCAGAACAAAGACTGTATTTCCCAATCTAAGTGTGGTCATGTAAGACTAAGTTCTGATCAATGGTCTATATAAGGCTGCTTCTGAGCACCTTCTTCTATGAGGCAGTTAAGCTGCATTCTTTGCTGATGCCTCTGCCTTTCCTTCATCCTGTGGTTTGGAATGTGCATCTGCTGGCAGGAGCATTGAAGAGCTGAAAGAAGCCTGAATCCTGTGGGACTCTATACAACAGAGCTGTCACAACAGCCCTAAATTAACTCTCTCTGGACTTTTACAAGAGAAAGAAAGAAACTTCTGTCTTAAGTCACTGTTATTTATTTTCTAGTACAGCTGAACTTCATCCTAAACTGAAACATTTTTCTGCTAAAAGACAAATGATCAGGACAAAGATTAGAGCCAATTTAAAGGGAAGCAAAAGCAAAATAGTAAAATGATAAAAAGCAGTTTGTATTACTAAACATCTGAAGTATTTTGGTATCTATCTTATTTCCAGAGAAGATACTGTTTCCTACTATTGTTCAAATACTTATGTCTTATGGTAATATAGCCAAACTGGAAAAAAAAAAAAAAATTATGTTTCTGAATAGGTCTTCTTTTATCTTTATGTCTTATCTAAATATGTATTTATGTAAGGATTAACAAAAGACCATCTGTGTAAAACTATTTCTCCATAAGGCTATGATACAGGCCTGAAGAGCTTCACTATAAAACACCACCAATACAGCATTTTCTTGAACAGTGTCAAACATCAAAGACATCTTAAATGTAGAGCTAGATGACTTTTATGACATTTAACTAATTTAGTTTATAGATATTATAAACTTTGACCCTTCATTGGCTTTTGATTTTACAATGCTATCTTTAAAAAAGCATTTCTAAAAACTGCCCTTTAACCTTTTTCCTTAAATATGTACAAAATGATGTAAGGGTAAAACTTACAGAACGGAAGACATGATTGGATCTAACGTAAATGATTTAAAATGGTTACTCAGGAAGAAAAAAGTAGAGATGGAGACTTTACATACTGGGTCTTCACTGGACAGGTTTGGGTTCATGGGAACGTAATTTTCATCACTGTCATGTGAGTCACTGCTTGAAGTTGTGCTATGTACGGAATCCGGCCGGGGGGACATGGGAAACCTAGAGGAACTAATTACCAGAAATCACCATTACAAACATAAACCTTGAGGACACTTTCAAAATTACTTCTAAAATAAAAATGTGAGTGCTAGTTAATATTCTTTCAGAAATACTCATTTATGCATATAATCAACATATTATACATGTTCAAAAAGACATCTGGTATGCATAGCTATATTAGAAAAGCATATTCTTAACATCAAATAATCTTTTGTAATAACAACAAGCAAAAAGTATTACTAATGACTTGGAGATAACTAAAACTTACATATAAAAAGATCTAAGAATTCTACTCTTTATGTAATGTGAACACTCATTCACACATATATTCAACATAGATTCGCAACATCATATATCATTCTCATTTCCCTATGTAGATTTAAATAAATCTGTATCACATAATCTTGATATCCTGATTTTGTTACATACACCCATCCCTACAACACGTACAAGAAACCACCATATTTTCCAGATCAGTGGTTCTCAAAAATTTTTGGTCTTAAGAACCGTTTGCTATATTATCCATTGATATTTACCACATGAGAAATTAAAATAGAAAGTTTTAAAACCCAAAAGTACACAGGCACATACAAGGGGCTTCAAAAAGTTTGTGGAAAAATTCCATTACCTTTCAACTGCATCTTTCCAAGAACATGCTGAAGCCCCCTTGTATCCTATTAGTCATCACAATGGAGATGCCATCATATGCTATGTTAAGTGTTATTGAGTTGGCACTGACTCACAGTGACCCTTTACAGGTTTTCTGAGGAGTAACTGGTGGTTTTGAACCACCGACCTTGTGGTTAGCAGTCCAGTGTTTATTCTACAGCACCACACTAGGACTCCACACATTATGTAGCCTCTGGAAAATTCCACTGTACATTTGTGAGAGAATGAGAGTGGAAAATGCAAACATCTTAATAAAAATATTTTGACTTCACAGAACCCTAAAAAGTAGGGCTCTCCATATCTTTGAAAAACCACTGTCCCTAAGATTTTCCACGATAATGAGAAATTCTAGATATTCAAGTTATTCAAACCAACTACACATTTTAAATGAAGACTTACTCTCGAGCAAAACTCCTAGTGATGGGAGATCTAACTGGAGCTTGTAATTCTTCCCATTCAGACAAGGGTTTTATTTCTAAAGGTGCTGGTTTGGCTGTATGGAAGAGAGTCAGAGAGAGATTTTAGTGTATATAACTTTGGAAAACAAATGATTTTTCTCTGTATCTATAGTCAGATCTGCCTAAGGCCAGCTAATCCAGTGACTTTATTTCACCTCATCTCACCAGGTGAAATGAAGACGCTCATGGAGGTTACATGATTTGCCCTAGGTCACACGGCTAAATAATATCAATAGAAGTAAACCAAATAATGATTCATGATTGTTCACTTCAAGTCTAAAGCTCTACTAACAACACGGTATTATTTAAGTAAATGCTTTATGACTACAAAACAAATAAGAACAATGCAGAATAATAGGAAACAGTTCCTTTAGAGTTGCTTAATTTATTTCTCTTTATTCATGAATTCATTTTTATTAATTTTATCTTAAAATATAGAGATTTAATCTTATATGCAAAAACATTACTCTTCTTCAGTATTGAAATGTCAGTTAGAAAACTGTACATATAAATGATGTATCCACCCTTAACTCACTGCCATCAAGTCAATTCTGACTCATAGCAACCCTGCATAGGGTTTAAGGCTGTAAATCTCTAAGGAAGCAGAAAGCCTTGTTTTTCCCTATGGACCTGCTGGTGGGTTTGAATTGCCAACCTTGTGGTTAATAGACCAATAATTACCCTACAGCACCATAATTGGTGCTAACATAAAAACACCAAACCAAACCAAACCGAACCAACCAGCCAAACAAATAAACAAAACCAATCAAGTCATTTCTATATATGCCTAGTATGGAACCAAATAGTAATTGTATCTTTAGACTCAAACTGCTCTGAAAACACTACCTGAAAATTTCAGTTTAATTTAATAATTTCTTCTACAAAATTAAATAAAATTAAAATGACATTTTCATTAGCAATATTTCTAAGTGGTCTTTACTTATTCATCCAATTGTTGCAGTACATAAATTATAATACTAGTATATATCAAAGAGTTCTCGGTCCTTTACTTAAAGACAGAAATATTTTAGCAAAAATTTACGAAGTGAGCAAAAGAATTAACATTTAAAAAATTTAATTGTGTTTTAGATTATTTAAATGTATTTTGTTGTTCTTAAGTGCTGTCAAGTCAGTTCTGCCTCATAACAAACCTATACAGGGTTTCCAAGGAACCTTGTGGTTAGCAGTCCAGTAAGTATCTTATAGTGCTACACCAAGAATCCATATTAAACAAAGATTAGAGTTACATTTCATGCCACCATTCTAAATAATCTTTTCATTTTTCCAGGTTATATGAGTGGAAATTGTAATCAACTGTTATAACTACCACCAAACTATAAAATAGGTGGTCATTTGAAAGGGCTACACAGATTCAACAAGGCTTAAAATTGTTTCTGTCAACACAAATGAAAAAAATTCAATAAAAAATTTCTTAAGACCAAATTGATTTATTAAATTAAATTTAAATGGATTTTGCACATTGATATGCTTAAAAATCAAATAATGTCTTGACTATAAAACCATTTCTCTAACTCTAATTTTTTTTTAAAGCCTAAAGAATAATAGCAGTTTAGCTATCAGTCCATGATAGAATTCTTAGAACAGAACACAAATATCACATATAAAAATACAGACAGAAGACAACTGGAACTCACAAGCAATTTACAAGCATAAAGGAAACAATGTACTGATGTCTAAAGATTTAAAGAAATAATATATAGAGATAAGACTGAATATGACATTATGGGATTTTTCACATGCTTTTGTTAATGACATTGTAAGGAAACTCAATGTGTATTATGGGAAGCATTCACTTTAGATATAACATGCTGGGAAGCTTTATTTACAACAGCAGTATTCTTCTTTACTTTTTAAGAAATAAATTTTTAAAGAAAATAAAATCAATTCCCAACATCCCATACAGCATGCGGTGCTAAAGTACATACCCTTTCTTCTTGTAGCAAAGTCACCTATGGTTTGTGAATCAGTTCGCTCTAAACCATGGGGTTTGGGTCTTAAAATTTTAGGACTTTGACCTAATTGGTAAAAAGAAGACTCTCTTAATATAATGTTATTTTTTAACTGGAAAAATGGGTTCCGTAAAAAAAAAAAAGCAACAGAGCTCTGTGCAGAAATGTTACATCTTATAAGCATAAACAAAAGTTTGTGGAGAAATTTTCAATCCTGCTACATACTCTTCATGCTCAGCATAATGGAAAGGAGAAAGTTGCATGCAACAAAGTTAGTAAGCATTGTTATAAAAGGTGTAGGATTTTAGTGGGCTAACTAATCAGATTAGTGGTTATCTTTATTTTAAGAAAGGGAGAAAAAACATGCCATGTTAGCTTTTCTTCTAACATGCCTTAGAAAAATCAGATCAAATCATGTACAATGATTAAATCCTTCTGTCATATGTCTACATTTTCTTTGAAGTTTCACTTCCCTAATCTGTTATAGATATTTAAAAAATCTGAAACTCACTGTTCCCACATCTCCTGATCAAAGCGCTTTGAGAGGAGCATGTCGACACTATATTATTTGCGAATCCATGACCAAAACCAACAAAATTTATTTATTTATAGTGATACTCAGTAGATGAGCAGTGGCATCATTTTGCAAGAATTAGATGTCTACGTTCTGGCACTGCTGACTGTTGAAGCTTCAAATGTAAGCCCTTAAAAGTATACATTTAGTTGCTATTATTTTCCTTTTATTTAATCTCTGTCACATACAAGAACAGCTGAAGAGTTCTATGTACCGGACAAGACTGAAAACCAGCAGCTGGCCTCATAGGGTTCCTAATTATTAGTCTTAATTTCAGAGCAGAAAAATCATCTGAGTCAGTGTTTTAAACTGCTCTATTCTGGGAGTCTTGATGTGGTGCTGCAGAATAAAACTCTGGACTTCAAGGTTCATTTGAACACAAGGTCAGCGGTTCAAATTCACTAGCCGTTCCTTGGAAATCTTATATACGTTTGCTATAAGTCAGAACTGACTCACTGGTACTTAATGACAACAACAACAATTCTTAATGGCAGGTGTGCCTTGGTAGCACAATGATTAAAGTGTGTGCCGCTAACAGAAAGGTCAGTGGTTCCATCGGGGAAAAGACCTGGTGATCAGCTCCTATAAAGATAGTCGATGCTGTTGTTAAGTGATATGGAGTTGGTTCTGACTCATAGTGATCCTGTATAGGGTTTCCGAGGACCATCTAGTGGGTTTGAATCGCTGACTTTGTGGTTGGTTTGCAGTCCAGTGCTTATCCTATAGTCCATGCCAGGACTCCTAGGAAACCCTATGGGATAGTTCTACTCTGCACTACACGGTCACTACAAGTCGGAATGGACTCGATGTCATACCTTTTTAATGGCACCGAATTTTCTTTTTTCTTAGACTTTACAAAGTTGAGTCAACATCTGTTTGATGGCAAAATGGAAATTTGCCACTTAACAACAACACCTACAATAGCATCTCATTGACCCAAACCTAAAAGTTCCCTAAATGTCATTTTCTTTGGTTGTTGTTAAGTGCCGTCGAGTTGGTTCTGACCCATAGTGACCTTGTATAGGGTTTCAGAGGAGCGACTGGTGAGCTTGACCTGCTGACCTTGCAGTTCAAATGGCTTTGCAGTCTGGCGCATTAACCCACAGAGCCACACCAGGACTCTTTTCTATGGTTAGATATATTTAAAAAAATGAGAATGTTCTAATTTACCAACTTGCTAAGTTGGACAATACATTGAGTTTATTCAGAAGTGAGTCAAGACCATGACTCCTAATACTTGACCTATTCAGAGCCCACCCTGGCAGAACATTGTTTCTAAAAAACTTTTTAAACTTCCCAAACAGTGTATTGCCCTTTCATAAAGCAATAGGCAAAAGATAGTTTTACTATGAGAAAAATCCATTTGTTTTAGAGTTCAAAGACCCTTAAAGACCAAATCTAGCCTCTTCATTTTCTGAATGAGAACCCCTGAGAAAAAAGAAGTGAAGTGACTTGCTCAGGTCACAATCATACTAAGAGGATGAAGTTTCCTCCGGTCTCACAGCTGCTGGTATGGTACTCTAGATCCTGTACATCCGTAGGCCTTTTGGGAAACAGGAATTCTTAGGAAACTCAGATTTTAGAGTAGGAGTGTTTGTCTATTATTACTCTACAATTCCTGCAGTTTTGATATTATTTGAAGCATCTGCATGTGGTTTAGGGAACTGCATTGACTTGAAAGCCACAAATGGGTGATAAGTGGGTGATGTGATGATTAGTAATTACAAAATGCTTTTAGTACCACTTTTGGTTTGTTGGTATTTATACAGTGTGTCCTCAGCCCAACTCTCTCTCTTTTTGTTGTTGTTGAAAGATTCACTTTCATTGGTTCTTCAGAAAAATTTCCCTGATTTTTAATTTGTACTGTGAATGAAGTATCTCTGAATGGTCACTTTGTACATTTCTTAACTTTGTAGGCCATTAGTTAGCATTTTATCTATGTTTGTAATTAAATAATCAAGGTCACATGCCTGTTAAATTTACCTAGTTGTGGTTTGTCACTTTTTCTCTAGTTTCATGTGTCCAGTTACCGGACATATTACATCCAATAAGTGAAGTCAAATTGACCATCTCTCCTCCTCCAAACCAGTGCCATATCTCACCTTCAGCAATGATACCATTTTCTGAATCCTTAGGCACGAAAACCTCAGGGATGTATGGTTAACAGCCCATCTCCTTTGATTAACTGCATTTACTCTTCAAATGCTAATAATTTGCCAAGATGACAACAAAAAGAGCTTTGAAATGAGAACTAAAATGGAAAGATCAGATCATCAAGGTCAATAAGAAGATTACTCATGTTTGTATGAATGCTAGCTAGGTAACTACAGCCAAAAATGATGAAAGACTTATGAAAAATAACAAAGGAGGTTCTTTTAAAGTCTATATTTTGAGGATGGAAAACAGTGCAAAAAAAAACCAACAAGAACATCCTGCTTAGGAAGACAGAGTAATCATAATAGAAAACCCTCAGCTGCTTTGTAGGAGAAAAGACATAGTGATCTTCGGTAAAGATTTATAACCTAGGAAACTGTATGGGGCAGTTCTACTCTGCTATGAGTTGGTATCAACTTGAAGGCACACAATAACATTATGTTTTTATCTCTATTCTTTTATTACTAAAATACAAAATTCCCATTAACTAATATGTATAATTTCTACACAAAGCTCAAGTCATAGTACATCCTCAAAATACCACTACATTTACATTGTTGTTGTAGTTGTCAAGTGTCACTGAGTCGGATCCGACCCTGTATACGGTTTCCGAGGAGTGGCTGATGGGTTTGCACTAGCAACTTTGTGGTTAGCTGTCCAGTACTTATTCTACATTGTCACATCAGGATTTAGATATTAATTAGATGAATAATTACATAGATTGAGGACCAAGCATTCTAAAATCTCATTTGATCCTTACAATAACCCTGTGAGGCAGGTACAATTAAAACAGATTTCAATAATTTTATCAGTTGAGGAGGTTGGGTCTTGAAGAGGTTAAATAACTTGCCCAAAGTCATACAGAGAAAAAGATGTAGGAATTTGAATCTAGACTTAAGGTTCATGATCTTATTCCCACCAGGAATCTTTGTAGTTTTTCCCAGCAGAGTTTCCATTGTTCTGCCTTTGCTTTGGTGAACAGTAAGTCCTCCCAATAAAAATCTAAGTACTGCAGACTGTGAGATAAACATATTTTACCTCATCCCATCTTACCTATAAGGGATTTTTAAAAGTTTGGAAAACTTAAATGAAAAGGTAATGAAAAATTCCCAAGAGCTTTTTAAAGTCCCCTCGTACAATGACAGGCATAGGACAAGTCCTCAAAAAAGTTCCAGTGGTGGAACTACATCACTGGTGGGACTGAAAACTGGTCCAATCACTCAGGAAAGCAATATGGTGCTTCCTCAGAACACTGGAAATAGAAATACCTTATGATCCAGCAATTCCTCGACTTGGTATTTACCCACAAGAAATACGAGCCATAAGACGAGTAGATATATATGCACACCAATGTTCATAGCAGCACTAATTACAATAGCAAAAAGATGGAGACAGCCAAAGTGCCTATCAACTGAAGAATGGATAAACAAACTGTGGTACATACATACAATGGAAAATTATGCTACCTTGAAGAATAACAAGGAAGCTGGAAGCCACCGCAAAACATGGATGAACCTTGAGGACATTATGTTGAGTGAAATTATTCAGTCACAAAAGAAGAAATACTGCACAGGACCACTATTATAAAAGACTAAGAAAAAGAACCCATACTAAAGGGCGGGGGCGGATTATTTGCTGGTTACTGGGATATGGGGGGTGGGATGAGGGGAGGGAGGGGAAGGTAGAACACAGGGTAGGGAATAGACACAGGATAGTTTGGGTGCTGGGAAGGGGGGCAAATATACAAGAAGGGGGAGGGGAATGGAAGAACAAGGTGGATGGGAGAACAATTATGCAGGTTTGCATGGGCTAAGTGGGACAGAGGTAAATAATGATGTATGCACAACCTTGAACAACAGGGCTCTGGAATATAGGCAATGAGGCAAGGTTGGATTGGGCAAAAGTGGGGAAACCATGTTAAGATGCTTGGCTGTCTTTTGAATCTTGGTTTCCCTTGCATAACATTATAAAGTGGACACTTGAGGGTGAGGGAAAGGAATAGCCAAAAATATCACCACAGAAAGCTTGTAAGTCCATCTTCTGCCTATAACTGATTGGAATACCTAAAATGGAGCTACAAAGTACCCAGTGAAGGAGGCTTCCTGTGGAGTCTCTGCATTACATAAGACCACAGGGGGAATCCTGAACCCCATCCAGAATCTTCTGAGGTGGGAAACTTCTACTTGAAAGAACAAGCAGACCAGCCTGGAGCAGTTAGAAAAACAGAAGGTACTCTTAAAAGGAAAACCAACAAGAAAAAAAAAAAAATAATAAGGCACTCCAACTGACTACTACAAGAACAAGCAAGTTGCTTGCCCAGGAGACATCAAGCCAAGTG